GAGAACAACTGAGACAACACCGTCAACCTCTGACCTACACACACACAAACACACACACACACACACAGATGCACTCACACACACACACACACGCACGGACACACACACACAGATGCACTCACACACACACACGCACGCACACACACACACAGATGCACTCACACACACACACACAGATGCACTCAAACACACACACACACACAGATGCACTCACACACACACAGATGCACACACACAGATGCACTCTCACACACACACACAGATGCACACACACACACAGATGCACTCACACACACACACAGATGCACACACACACACAGATGCACTCACACACACACAGGTACACTCACACACACACACAGGTGCACTCACACACACACACACACACGCACGCACACACACACACACACAGATGCACTCACATATACAAAGACAAAGAATTTTACAGTAACCATCTCCAAGATTTCTTCTACATTTGAAGTAAGCAGTCTTCCCAGAGACTCCTCCCTCCCTCCCTCCCCACCCCCAAACACACACAAACACCTCTCTCCTACCTCCACCTTTCTTGCATCTCAACTTTTCTTAGTGTTCTGATTTTATTTTTGCAAAATTTTTATTTTGTCAAAAGGATGGGAACTAAGACATCACACCATCATGCACACTGAACAAGAACGCTACCGCTGAGCTAGCCCCTCAGCACTCTTTCATAGTTTAAAAACCGTTCCTGGGAGCATTTCAAGTAGACCTCCTTATTGCCTCTTTTACTATAATTGAGTCAGAACCACTGAAGACAAAAGGAATTTCTTTGCTTTATTTGCACCACCTGTGACTGAGCTTGGTTTCTGATGCAGGGCGCACATGGCTTGGAAGGGTGTAAGGAATACTGGAACAAGTCTTGCCATTGGCTAGACCAAAAAGGAATAATAACATTTCCTCATGCAATCAATACTGATTGCTGTACAGACACAGAAATTGAATATGACTTTAAATAAGAGGGTTTTCTGAGTAGATCATGCTATGTCAGATTTTTAGATTATTGGGAGGTGTGGGTTTTTTTGTTCATCTTTTTTTTTTTTTTTTTTTTTTTTTTTTTTTTTTTTTTTTTTTTTTTTAGTAAAGTATCACTTTTAACCCCTAGAGACTTGAAACTTGACTGGGCATGGTGTCTCATGCCTTTTAATCCCTGCACGCTGGAGACATAGGTAGGCAGATCTCTGAGTTTGAGGCTAGCCTGGTCTACAAAGTGAGTTTCAGGAGATCCAGGGCTACACAGAGAAACCCTGTCTTGAAAAAGCCAAAAAAAAGTCGGGGGGGCCTGGAGGGATGATTTAGCAGTTAAGAACACTGGCTTCTCTTCCATAGGACCCAGGTTCAACTCCCAGCGCCCACATGGTAGCTAAGAATGGTCCAGTTCCAGGGAATCTGACACCTTCACACCAATGCAGATAAAATCAATTTAAATAAATGATCTTTTAAAAAGAAAAGAAAAAGCCAAAGTGGAGGGAGGCAGGGTTGTGAATACTTTGCTCTACACCTAAGAGGTTTATTTAACGATTACCACCCATGTCCTATTTACTGACAACTTTTGTCAAGTTACGCTAAGGTCATCATGTCTCCCTGGTGAGGTAATTAATTTGAGAGATGCACTAGAGTCTTTTATGTGTGGTTAGCCAGAGATTTTCTCTCTAGAGGAACTGATATTCCTTGGACTTTGCCAGGACTATTTTTCTTTTTGGGGTTTTGTTGTTGTTGTTATTATAGTTACTGCTGTTGTTTTGTTTGTCCTCTCTAATCTACCCCTTACATCTCTGTCCTAACAGTACCAAGTGTGATGGACAAGATCAGAAGACCAGGGAAAGTGGATCACTCTCCTGGGTTTGTACCACTAGGAAGTGCTGCCAGTCCTTCTGACTCGAAAGTCCTTGGAGTCCCCTGAATCACAGGACGAGAATCGAATCCGTGACATCTGTAGATGTATTTAAAGCACACTGAATATGTACACACGAGACAAATCTGTTGCTGAATGGTATTTTATTAGCTTAATAATCTGGGCCGGCCCTTAGCATTAATAAGCTTCAGCACTCGTCACAGATTTTCATTCATTGATAGGAAACTTCCTTGTTTTAAAAAATGCAGTGAGAGAAAGGGAGTCTACTTCTTAGGGGCTGCAGTGACAGCAGGCTTCTCTTCGCGGGTGATGGGAATGGTACGCTCAGGGCCAGAGGCCTGTTTCCTTGGTCCATTCACAGTGAGGACCCCATCAGATGACAGGGATGAAGTAATGGTGAGAGGATCCACATCAGCCGGGATCCGGTACTTCCTGTGGAACTCCCTAGAGATGAAGCCGTGCTCGTCCTAATCCAGGAGAAGGAAGAAAGAAGAAGAGAAATAAGAATGGGAAACACCATCACTTGGCCCAAACTCAGACATTCCCTCCCCTTGGGTGAGACCAAATGGCCCTGACATCATAAAGACAAAAGAAATATCTGGAGTTGGGGATACAGTCTGGTGGTGAAAGGCCCTGAACTTCATCTCCAACACTGCAGTAAATATACAGATAGCAAAGTCAAGGGCTGTTCATCCAGGTTTAAGCCTAGAATAAAACTGTCCAGTTATTACAACTAGGGGCACTAGCCACAAAGGGATGAATCTCTGTTGGTTGTCCTTTAGAATTGAGGATCTACGTCCTTGAGGAAGCCCATAAGTTGTCCCAGTTCCTCATGAATGTCTCAGGATGTTCCTAACCCATAGGATCGCTGATATTATATAAGGTGACTCTATCATGGTGGTCCAGTCTTAAATTATATGAACAAAACTGAAACAGCCTGAGGACATTAATATACACTAATGATGCACAGGTTCTGAGTTATTAATTTTGATTTGCTTTTTGAGATAAGTAGGATTTCTCTGTGTAGATGTCCTGGAACTAGCTCTGTAGACTAGGCTGGTCTTGAACTCAGAGATCCGCCTAACTCCGCTTCCTGCGTCCTGGGATTAAAGGTGTGCACCGCCACGCCTGACAGAGTTAACCATTTTTAAGAAGCAATCATAACACCTTTTCAGGAAGTCAAGAAAAAGAATTGCCAAAAGTGCAAGAGGAATTGTTGACCTAACCCTTACACCTGAATTGCAAGGATCTACCCAAACAAACCTCAATTCACTGACTTCCTTACAGCCAGAAGCCTGAAGCTCTGAAATGTGGACAAACCATGGAGTTTAGCATTAAAATGAGCAGAAGAAGAGCCATGAAATCCTGACCATCTAAAAGTCACAAGACCGGAATGCCTTCAACCCTGTAGTTAATATCGTTATGGGCAATAACCATTTTGCACAACACACTACACCTAAATCAGTGGTTGCCAGTTTTGATTACAGACTGAAATTACCCAAGGAGATTTTTGTAAAATGTTGATGCCTGAGTTATATTCCTAAAACTTCATATGTAATTGGCCCTGGGTGTGCCTGAGGGATTGAAAAGCCTTCTGATATTTTCATGTCATCGGACAACAAGGCAACCAAAACAAACAGTAAGGGGACCCTTCTCTCAGCAAAAGCATAGCAATAACAACAGCTCTACCCCTAATTTAGCTTCCTAGCCATTGATTTGCAGCTCCTGCTCTAGTCCCTTATGCTTGGGGCCTGGAATTCTGCCAGCCTTGGAGACTGGTGGCAGTGCCTGGCATCCAGTGTGCACTCAGTGCATCCACAAAAGCAACAGACCCGTCCACGCACCTGGCGCTCTTCGTGCTTGCCATGAACTTCAATCACATCTCCCAGCACCTTGACTTTCAGTTCCTCGGGGGAGAAGTGCTTCACATCCAGATTGACAGAGAACCTGTCCTTCTCCATCCGCATCTAGAATGACAATGGGGGGAAGGGAGGAGAGAAGATGGCAGAATATTTAGTAAATTGGAGAAGACTCACTGTTCTATAGATTTACTTCTTGTCCAGGTAATTTTTCTTCCTCTTTACTGCTAAAGAAAAAAAAATCCCTTTCTGAATGACTCTGATGCATAGTGTTCTACAAGGGACAACTCTTGATCATCAGTCCCAAACTTTACTTAGAGGCACAAGGAAGAAGATAGGTCACTAGGGGGCATGGCTTCTGCTGCCTCTCTACCCAATGCTGGCTTTGTCATTTGTGTAACAGACAAAGGCCCCTTTTTCTTGTTCAGCTCCCTGCCAAGTTTCCTTCCCACTCAATCTGGAATGTTCTGCTGGTCCTGTCCTTCCAAAGCCCTTGCCCACTCAGCTCCTGTTTCCTCACACTGGAATATTTTTAAACCAGAGTGTTATCTGTGAGAGCTTCTGTTAATCTTATCTGTTCAACCCTTTTCCCACCCTGTTAGGACAAGTCGGGGCTTCCCGGAGCAGACGTGCATCCATTCCTCATAAGCCATGGAGTGAGGTGAGTACATTCTCTCAGCCATGAGAAACCCAGAAAATCAGAGGCAAAGGAAGAGAGAGATAAAATATAGTGATTGATGTTTCCAACTCCTTCCAGGGGGGCATGAAAAGTTCAGAATGAGTGGGTTTCTCTCCGATCTCTATGATTGGAGATGATAAAATATGCGAGGACCTGGTTATTAGGAAGGTAAGTAAAGGAGTTGAAGCAGTTCTTAATGCAAATCATTATGGATAAAGCCAGAAAGGGACACCCTGCTTCATCCTTAGGGGACAGAAGATGAGCTTCGCCATGCACAGAAAAGAGTAACAGGGAACAGAGGAACATCAAACAGAAACAGAAGAAGAAAACAGTGACCTCATCTCTCCATACCTTTGCACACACACGTGCCTGAGATGACTTAGGCAGCGACACAAAGGGAAACAAATGGAGTCGTAAGTATCCAGGAGGTTCCAGGAAGGGTGCTCCTGCCCTGGCATAGGGGCAGACTCACCTCTGAGAGTCCAGTGTCAATCCAGCTGGGTGCCCGAAGGAAGGAGGGTGGCCGAAGGTAGAAGGGGCTCAGAGAAGTGGCCGTTGAGAAGAGGTCAGACTCCAACAGGTGCTCTCCGAAGAACTGGTCAAAGAGGCGGCTGGGGGAGTGGAAAGGGAAGAAGGGACGCCGGATCCAGGGGTGGTGGATGGCGATGTCCATGGTGGCTAGATGAATGTAGTCTCAGTTGACTGGTCAACTCCTTCAGCTGCAGCTACAGCCAGCCCCTTATATATGCAGTCTTGTGAAGCTTCTGGAATGGTGATGTCAGGGGTTTTATTATCCCAGCTCACCGCCAGTCCATGGAGACTTGTGACAGGATTTGGCAGGGTGACACATACCCAGTACTCACTGAGCTAAGAAAAGAGAAACACAAACACGGGCTGAGCTGGCCGGTGACTTGTCATGGTCTTGTTTCACTAGCTCTCTGTCCACACCCGGGGACACCCACCCCCATCCTTGTTCTCTGGAGCTAGGACAGGGTCAGGAATCTCAAGCAGCTGGTGGCGTGCCCCTCCTCCTCTCCAGTCTTGCATGCCAGGGGAGTTGAGCCAGCAACTATCTTGAGCCTGGGCAGGGACTGGAATCTTCCTAGGTCGGGCCCCAGAGACATTAACTCTTTGTGGTACCCTTGAGGACAGCCGTGACCACCAACGTGTCAGTCAGTCCCAGGTTATCGGATTGGAACCCTGAGTCGACCTGGATTCAGAATACTCTGAAATTAAAGAGACAGAAAATGCATCTTGCATCTTTGATGCGATGTGTGCATGGTGCCTACCACTGAGAAGGACAAAAGGTGATACAGAAATGCACAGTTTGTGAAGGCCCAAACCCTCAGGCACTGCACCAATTTCTTTTCCTAACTCACCCCAGGACCAGGACCCACCAGCTGTCCTCCCAAGCCTCTGCAACAGCTGAAGGGTGTGCAGAGGAGGGGACTGAGGGGGGTCCAGGCTGTGCTGGTCACACCCTCATCACACTCTGGGCCCAGGCTCCTGGCCCTCCCCCAGAGGCATTGCACTATTTTCGGTGGTGTAGACCCCGCCCCCACTCTGACTGAGTCCTGGCTCTCCCTCCAGCTAAAGGGGTCGCGTCGATCTTGTTGGGGCTGCACTTGGGATCAGGGCTGCCAGTCACAACCTCAGTCATGTCTGGCCGCACAGTGCCACATGCCCACCCAGCCACTGCCGAGTACGAATTTGCCAACCCCAGCCGCCTGGGTGAGCAGCGCTTCGGAGAAGGTATGGGCCCAAATGCTTCCCACCCCCACCTCCTGAAATTCTGGGCTCACCGCCCAGTTTCACTGGCCTCCACCCTACCTGGGGCTTAAGTGAACTCCTGGGCCATCTCCCACCCCAGACTCTCCCCTCACGCCAAGGCTCTCCTCTTGCTACAGACTTCAAGACAGGCTTTAGACCTGCAGGGCTTTGGGTGTCCGGGCCTTGCAAGCTGCATACTTTCTGGTTTCGTTTCTGCCCTCCCGATTTTTGCTTGTTTCCCTCATTGCCATCTCATTTCCTTCCTTTCCCAGACCCTCTCCAGCAGCTTTCCCACCTGCTCTTCCCAGGCCCACTCTCCTGATCTCGCCTTTCAGCCCCGTGCACACTACATTCTCCCTCATCCTGCCTCTTGCTTTCTCTCTCTGCACCCCCAGGTCTTCTTCCAGAAGAGATCCTGACCCCCACCCTCTACCATGGCTACTATGTTCGGCCTCGGGCCGCCAGAGCTGGGGAGGGCAGTAGGGCAGGGGCCTCAGAGCTCAGGCTCAGCGAGGGCAAGTTCCAGGCATTTCTTGATGTGAGCCACTTTACCCCAGACGAGGTGACCGTGAGGACTGTGGACAACCTGCTGGAGGTGTCGGCTCGGCACCCCCAGCGTCTGGATCGACACGGCTTTGTGTCCCGAGAGTTCTGTCGCACCTATGTCCTGCCAGCAGATGTGGACCCCTGGCGGGTTCGAGCTGCCCTCTCCCATGATGGCATCCTTAACTTGGAGGCGCCTCGAGGTGGCCGGCATTTGGACACGGAAGTCAATGAGGTCTACATCTCTCTGCTCCCTGCGCCTCCTGACCCAGAGGAAGAGGAAGAAGTAGCCACAGTTGAGTCCTGACCGCCCGCGGGAGAGCCAGCACCCAGTGAATCTCCTGTCTACGTCTCACGGGGATTCCAGAAGTCCACCACCCCAGAGGTAGCAGCGTCCTCAGGGGAAGGGACAGGTGTATGGTCCACAGTGTATGATTTGGTTCTTTGATGTATCGTAGCATTTGATTTAGTTCTGGGTGGAGATGAATAAACCCAAACCTTGGGGCCTTGTTTGTGCTGCTCCTGTTCTGTGGCCTGGAAGACCGAACCGCGAACGGATTGGAAGGTCATAGGGAGCAATTTCCACTGTGAAATGTGCCCATCGTCTCAGCCTCCTAAGCTCACACTTGGATGCTGAGGTCACCCCCGGAAGCTCACGCTGGCTCCAGATCAAATTCCTAGCCATAATTTTCTCACAATGCAACAAAAGAGAGAATGATCCTGGGAGGGAGAGGGATAGGCCATCCAAATAGCCCAGAGGGCACTGTCTGAGCCAGTGATTAGAGACACAAAAACAAGGGTCTCCAGACTGTCTGGCCTTTTTGGGTAGGGGTTAGAAAAATGTTTTCTTTTTTGGCTGGGGAGAGTTTCCTAAAGCTCTGGGGTGAATGTTTTGCTTTCCTGTATCAATGGCTTTGTCCCGAAAGGTCTCTGGTTGAGAGAAGGGGTGTGCATATGTGGGGTACAGACACTAATTCACCACTATCCCTGAACCCACAGCCTTCCCATCTTGAGTACAGCGGAGGCCCATCCTTGATTTTGTAATAACCCATAGAGAGGAAGCACAGAACGCCAGCCGTCCTAATCTAAGACTCAGGGCAGCTTCCACTGTCGTTCTGCGGTGGCAGTGGTCAGGAAGGCTCAAGGCGACTTTAGTGCTGGGAGAACAGTGCATTAAAAAATGTCAGTTGGTTGAGAGAGGCTGTGGCTATTCTCTTCGCAATCAAGAGAACGTGCATGTGTATGATTTGACAGGTGTCCTGAAGAGTTCCTTTCTCTCACTCTTTACATACATACATACATACCTTCATTCATATATATGTACTCCAGGTTATGGTAGATAGCTGAAAGTCTTTCAGTAATGTTGTTTCTTAACTCTTGGAGGTTAAAAATCCATTTGAAACAGGACAAAAGCTATCAATCTTCTTACCAGAAAAATACACACACTTGTAAATTCGTCAGCTCAGCTTTTCTCCTTGGCTTTTTTTTTTTTTTTTTTTTTTTTTTTTTTTTTTGCTCAGTGTTTTTTTTTTTTTTTCCATACCCCTCTTAGGGATGGGTGGAACTCCAAGGTAAGAGCACTTCTTCAAGTAATTTGATTATTGGCTTAAAAATTGCTTTCTTTTCCAAACCAAAGCAAGACCTGGAGTGTAGCTCAGTGACAGAGAGCTTGCCTGACAGGCGCAGGCTCCGGGGTAGAGCCCCAGCACTCCATAATGAACGGATGCAATAAAAGTATACCTCAGAGAAACAACATTGACTATATTCACCTCTTCATTTAGCTCAGTAAATATTCATCAAATAATATACAAGTCAAGCAATAAAGTGTGGGAGATAAGCATTGTAGAGATAAATAAGAACTGGGTCTCTTTGATTCGCTACCCTTAGTTAAACCTAGCAACTGGGTGAGAAGAAATGCAAAAGGCCTAGAGTAAATCTGAAGAGAACAATTTCTCTAACAAAAGAAGCACATACTTTATAACAGTGGTCAGAAAACTGCCACTTGCTGACCAAGGTTGGCCGTGTGTGTGTGTGTGTGTGTGTGTGTGTGTGTGTGTGTGCGTATGTGTTTTATCTATCTATCTATCAGATAGATAGATAGATAGATAGATAGATAGATAGATAGATAGATAGATAGATAGATGGATGATAGGTTTTTTTTGATACAGGGCTTCTCTGTGTAACAGCCCTGCCTGTCCTGGAACTCACTCTGTAGACCAGGCTGGCCTCGAACTCACAGAGATCCACCTGCCTCCTCCTCCTGAGTGCCACCACCACCTGGCATATATTTTTAAAGGTTATAAAAGGAAGACTATATGCATGGTCTGTAAAACTTAAGATATTTATTTACTCTCTAGCCTTTTGGGGAAAGTTTATTTGTTCTTGTATTGTCAGCTATGAGATTAATAACCTTTATCTTTATGCAAAAAGTTAAAAAACATGGTTAAGGTTTAGTCCTACAACTGTGACACTGAAAAAATAGCCGCCTTTTATAACTACATATAAAAGCTTTAAATAAAAAAAGGAAGTAAATGGAAGTTGGATGCAGTGGCACACACCTGTAATCCCAGCTCTGCAGAGAGGGAGTTAGGAAGACTGAGAAGCCAAGGTCAATCCTCAGCTACATCAAGAGTTTGAGGCCTGTCTAGACTTCATGAAACCCTGCCTGAAAATAATAATAAAATAAAGATTTTCAAATTCTCAGATTTCAGCCTGAGCAGTTTCATAATTCTTTTTATAGTTGAACTTAATTGGCCTACTTACTTGTTTGGGGGAAGCAAGCCTTACACTCATTAAGCCCACACTCTACCTACTCAGCCCTGAGCTTGTCTAAGTCAGAAAAAGACTTTTTAAGAAGGAAACATTTGAAGATCTCTAATTTAAAACAAACCTGCACTTCATCAAAATTCTTTTAAAGTAATTGAGAGGTGGTGGTGTACACTTTTAATACAAGGACTTGAGAGGCAGAGACAGGTGGATTTCTGTGAGTTTGAGGCCAGCCTGGTCTACAGAAGAAGTTCCAGCACAGCCAGGGCTACATAAAAAACTCTGTCTTAAAAAACAAAACAAAACCTTCTTTTAAAAGTTATTAACCAACTTCTGTGACATTTTGAGCTGCAGAGATTTTGAATTTCACAAATAGCCTACTTCATTTACAAACATGCATTTATATGTGTGTATATAAGTATTTACATATATAAATACTTACGTATATCTACACAATTATGCTTACATACATATCTATATATGTATAGATATGTATGTGTAAGTATTTTTATATGTGAACATATAAATATACATATACAAATGTATGTATATATGTGTGTATGAGTATATATGTATGTATATATATGTGTGTATACACACACACACACACACACACACACACACACACACCCTCCTGCCTCAGACTCCAGAATATCAAGAATATCTGCAATTACAGGCTGGTACAGAATCTTAAAAGGCTTGGGTCCTGGAACCCTAGCTAGGGATGTCAAGGGAATGAAGAACAGATGCACAGACAAACATCTAATGAGGTTCAGGTTGTCTAGCACCCCAGCGTGTTTATTAGATATAGCACAGGGGAAGGTCAGCAAGTCTTGGTTAGAGGCTTCTTTGTTGGACTGCAAACTTTGGGGAGGAGGAGGTCAAAGTTGCTAGTCTTTGTACACACTGACCAATTGCTCGTAAACATCCATCCTCGAAGGGCTGAGCCCATATCAAAATATACATTCACTCAGGACTTCAGCCTCACAGGGCATCCTGCATGCGAGCACATTTCTTCTAAAGCTCCTCCCACCCCCAAACTCACTGCAATTGTGCTTCATCCTTTCAGCCACATCCTGTAGCACTTTCTGTGCCACCTACACACACACACACAACTTTCTTTTGTAACACACTGACAATAGAGCTTGAAAGTCAACTAAAATTATTCCAGACGCGGACCGTCCAGGTCAGATTTCAATGGAATACTCATTCGTCTATGTTATCGCTCTACACGTGTTTTAATCTGTTTAAGGCGTATCAGGTTTTATACCCCCAAGTGCTTTTTGTCTTTTCTGTGGCGTTTCTGGCCCCCTGTAAATTACCTGAAGAGGTGGCTGGCAATGGTGCAGATTATGAAGGGCTTTGAGAATTCTATCCCGTGACAGGAAATGACTCCTGGCTTTTGAGTCAGAGAGATGAAGCAGGTAACAGGATGAAAAGAATATAGTTAATAGCAAAATACAGAATGACCTGCAGGTAAGAAACATGTGCAAGGATTGGAACACAGGATACTAAAATAAAATGCTGTACCGTCTGGTTAGTGGCTGAGAACAAGAAGTAATAATAGGAAGAATAGCTAAGACTTACTGAATAAGTTCCATGGGCCGGGCCCTGGACTAAAGCTTTATATATACACATCGCATTCAAGAATCACCGCTGTAGAAGGCGACCACTCTCATCCTATTTTTTCTCAGATGGGGAGGAGTTCAGAAGTCAACATACTCTGTGGAGTGCAGGGCTGATTATGGGCATCCCAGGACAACACTTCAGATGCCAAGAAAATGTTTAGGATTGGAATTGTGGATTCCAAAGATTCTCTTGGAGCCATAGTTTTCCCTTTTTGTCGTTGCCGTTGATTTGAGACAGGGTCTCTCTATGAATTTCCGGCTGTCCTGGAACTTGCTCAGTAGACTAGCTAACCTCAAAGTCAAAGAGATCCTCATTCCTCTGCCTCCTGAATGCTGGGATTAAAGGCATGCACCACCATACCCAACCTGGAAACATATTTTCTAAGGGAATTCACTCAGCTGTATCATAGAGGCTGGTCAGTGAGATCTGGGTCATTGGAGGCAGAAACTCCAAGCAGGGGTAGGTGGAGATTTTGTAGTCCTAAACTGGGAAGAGGACAGTCAGTGCTCCATCCCAACCACAGAACCATCTGGTTTCTACCAGAAAGAGGATTAGGTAATGTAGGCGGTGCGCTTATGCTTCACTGTGCTGGAAATCTAGATGATAAACGGCTAGGAAGTCTGCGCGCCTTAGTTGTAATAGTGAGAACGCGAGAGCATTCCATCCCCCCACCCCCCACCCCTACCATTTCAGGTTCCAAAAGCCTCTAGGATTCAAACCCATACTGTGGACATAAGAAACTCTTACCAACTACTTTGACAGTAAACCTCAAACCTGAGGGTGGTAGGGCAGACGTGATGGGGGGTGGGGGGGACCCTGTGCTCGGTTAAGAAGGATATATTTCAAAGGCAGTGAGATGCAGTGAGGAACACTTCCTGTGGAAACTCGGAGCCTTTTTGTATCTCAGGTTTCTTTTTAAAACGAAGCTTGCAGCTCAAAGTTTACGGTTTCATCAAAAGAAGCGTCAAATCCCAAAGGTGAGATAACTCTCACCTAGAGCCCTTGTGTGTTTCTACCCTCCGGCTGGGAACAATCACCTGGGAATGATTCCACCAGGTGGCTTCCAAGGGCCAACCTACTTGGTTGAAATCTGACACTGACAGCGACTCCCTGGGAGCTGCTGCACTTCGCTCAACAGCGAACCAGGAAATGCGCAAACCTCTTTATGTCGGAACACCAGCTGGGCTTCCTGGGAGACACATCCGCCATGGGAAACAGGCTGTGCTGTGGGGGAAACTGGTGAGTAGGGTCGAAAGGTGGAGGGGACCGGCTCCGGTGGGTGGTGGATATGAAACCCTGAGAATCAGAGAGGGCCTGGAGAGACCGTGCCTTCCTCCACCCGCCAGGTCCAGGCTCAAACCCTAGAGCAGTACCTTAGGAGGGCTTAGAAAACATAGTACTCTGTAGAGGGCAGAGTTAGCTGGACTGGCGAACCGGCCTTGATTCTCTCTCCTCCCCTTTCCTTTTCCTGCTATACTTTTCTTTCTTCCTCAGATCATAATAATTGGAGCATCTGATCGCTCTTTACGTGCGCTCACTTATAATCTCGTTGAACAGTCCCAACACTTCTGTGAGTGGTCTTACCGTTGCTCCCATCATAAGCCAGTCAGGAAGCAGAGGCGCAGAGAAGTTAACTCATATGTCGGTCACATGACTAGGAACTTAGCAGGTAAAACAAGATTCCAAGCTAGTCAGCTAGACTTCAGAACCCATACTTTCCTCGCTAGGTAATCACAGAGGCAAGCATGGATTGAGCAACAGGATTTGGACAAATGTTTGTTTGAAATGGCAGAAGTGGGA